ATGAGCCTCGAGTCAGGGAGTCAGGGAGGGGGCAGGAGGAAGGCCTGACCTTCTGACCTCCCCCCAGGCCCAGATGAAGGACTTCCAGCGGGAGCTGGATGATGCCCGGGCTGCCCGGGAGGAGGTCTTTGCCACAGCCCGGGAGAACGAGAAGAAGGCGAAGAACCTGGAGGCAGAGCTGATGCAGCTGCAAGAGGTGAGCTGGTGGGAGGCTGGAAAGGCCGGGAGGGGATTCGGCTCTGCCAGGAGCATCATGGACACCCACTGCCCAGGATGGTTGTGTGTGTAATGACAGCCCCGATTCTGAAAGTGGGGTCCCAGGCCTGGGGAGTTCCAGCTGTAGAGAGGGTGTTCAGGGAGCCTCTTCCTTGGCAGGACTTGGCTGCCGCAGAGCGGGCTCGGAAGCAGGCAGATCAGGAGAAGGAGGAGCTGGCGGAGGAGCTGGCCAGCTCTGTCTCAGGGAGGTAAGGGGCCCAATGCGCCCATGGCACCAAAATGGGTGGCCTGGCAGCACCCCCCAGTTGGGGCTGGAAAGCCACTTGGTTAAGCTGCCCAGCGCTGGACATGGGATTGGGAGGGGGGTGGCAGGCGGTGAATCTCAGCTGGTGACCCCTTGCAATGTCCCCAACTGCCCCCCAGGACCAGCCTGCAGGATGAGAAACGCCGCTTGGAGGCCCGAATCTCCCAGATGGAGGAGGAACTGGAGGAGGAGCAGGGCAACATGGAGGCCATGAGCGACCGCTTCCGCAAGGCGGTGCAGCAGGTAAGCCCCCTCCCTGGGAGGGGCTGGAGAGGCATGGCCAGGGCGTGACTTGCTCCGTGCAGCTGCTCTGCAAATCTTCCCTTCCCCTCTTCAGTCGGAGCAGCTGAGCAACGAGCTGGCCACAGAGCGTGCCACGGCACAGAAGAATGAGAGCGCCCGCCAGCAGCTGGAACGGCAGAACAAGGAGCTGAGGTCCAAGCTGCAGGAGATGGAGGGGGCCGTCAAGTCCAAGTTCAAGGCCACCATCTCGGCCCTGGAGGCCAAAATCAGCCAGCTGGACGAGCAACTGGAGCAGGAGTCCAGGTACCCAAGGGGGAAGCATGGGGGGGGAGGGTTGCCCAGAGCAGGGCTGCGTCGTGTGGGGTGTTTGCAGTCTGGGAGTCCAGGTGTGCATCCAGCTGTTTGGCACCAAGCTCCAGGCCTGATCTTGGGAACCCTCCCAGGGGAATCTTGAGATGCCACCACTAAACCATTCAGGCAGACCTGAAAAATGCCTTTTTTAAAAGCTTTTAACTTTCCTCAACATCTTTTAAACATTATATTTGGTTCTAGGTAAATAAAACACCTTTTTGTGGAAATACAAGCAGTCTATTTTTAAAAAATAAGACCAAAACTCAGAAATATTTTTAAAAACAAGTCAATTTTCTTTCCCTCGCCCTGGATGCAATTCACAAGGCAGAGTCTCCTTCCACGAAAGAAACATGCCAGCAGACTGTCCTGCCTCCGTACTGGGCTGGGCTGTTGCTTTCAAGCCCTGGAGAGCTTCATGTGGACTAGTCCCTTTGAGCGCCTTTCTGCCTCCCTACAGAGAAAAGCAGACGGCGGCCAAGGCCCTGCGCCAGAAGGACAAGAAGCTGAAAGAGACTCTGCTGCAAGCGGAGGATGAGAGGAAGCAGGCCGAGCAGTACAAGGACCAGGTGGGCGCCCGGTGGGAGGCATTCCTGGGCAGGTGGGCAGGGGAGTGGGGAATGCTGTGGCAGAACCTTCACTCCCATCGCCCCCTGCTGGAAACACCGGGGCCGCTTTAGGTCCTCTGGGGCTGGCGCTGAAGCCCCTGCCGGCCTCTCCCCCAGGCAGACAAGGCCAGCGCCCGGGTGAAGCAGCTGAAGCGGCAGCTGGAGGAGGCGGAGGAGGAGGCCCAGCGCATCAATGCCAGCCGCAGGAAGCTGCAGCGGGAGCTGGACGAGGCCACGGAGAGCAACGAGACCCTGGGGCGGGAGATGGTGGCCCTGAAGAGCAAGCTCAGGTGAGGCCCTGCGCCTCCCGCCTGGCTGGCATCCCGCAGGCGCTGCCCGCTCCTTCCCAGTGGCCTTCGCCCATTTCCACCCGTGGTCCGAGCCAAGGGCTGGGCCGGCACCCTTTGCCTCTCCACTCGGAGGGTGCAGGCAGCCGAGTTGGTTGGGCAGGACCGCGCAGGGTCCAAGAATAGGATGGCGGTGCCTTCTCCGGGGCCCCGGTCCCCCCAACCAGGCCCTCCTCGGCCTGCCAGCTGCTGCCGGTTGGGGCTGATGTGGTGGACGCTTCTCTCTTTCAGAGGGAACCCAGAAGCTCCGCAGTGACTTGGCAGGTACCAGGCCTTCACCTTTGCAGCCTGCTTGTGATTGCCAAACCCCAACCTGCCTTTGGGTCCCTCAGAAATCCAAGCGAGCCTCCTGCAAACTCTGAAGGCTTGGCTATCTCGTGGGTAGCGGCTTCTTCCCAGAGACACATACGACAGAGTTTGCCCTGCATGCCCCTGGCTCCTGACCAGGCTCCTGGCACCTCTGTTCCAGTCACTCCCCCCACAACTGAGCTTTGGCAACACACCCCTCCTCCCACTCTTTCTAAACTCAAATCATTGTCCATGACTTGCACAAGCATCATTGTATGCAGCGCATACAAGGAGCCGGCTCGTGAGCACAATCCTTTAAGCCAGGGGCCTCCAAACTCAGCAACCTTAAGACTTGTGGACTTCAACTTCCAGAATTCCCCAGTCCCCGAGTCTTGAAGTTGCCAAGTTTGGAGACCACTGCTTTAAGCAGCCACAGCTTCTTCCTTCTGGTGCATGTAGCTACTTTGGGGGGAAACCCAGCTGCTTTCACGAGCAACTGAGCAGTGCTGAGGCCCAAAGCCTTTGTCCCAGTTGCTTCTGAAGCAAGAGCACCCCCCTATGTGGGGCAGCTGCCCCATCACACAGCAGGCAAGCCGCCCCTAGGAGCAGGCTGCGTCCCCTTGCTACCTTCTTTGTGGTGCAAAATCAGACGCCTCGGCTGGGTCCCTTGCGGCCGCACACAGTGGGCAGCTGTGCTCCAAAGACCCATCTTGGGATGGGAATTCATGCATCAGCCCCAACTCGTAAAAACCTCTCTGGATCGGCTGAGCCTCTTGCCTTCCGTAAGAGGTGTGGAATCTCCTTGCAGCACTGGGCTTTGCTGCTGCCACTGAAGGTGGGGTGTGGATGTGGGTGTGTGCGCACACGCACTCACAAAGCCAAACTCCTGCTGCTGCAGTTCACCCCTTTTCCACTGGCCTTTTCTGCCCCTGCACAGGAGCTGAGTGGTTAGAGCTGCCCCTCTGCCACCCTCCTTCACATTGTTCTTTTCCATGCACCACAGAAAAGGCACCCCAGGTGCCGGGAAAAGGCTGCCACTGACTCAGTTCCCGACGGAAGTGGATCTCTGATGCAGGGAGAACATTTGGCCCCTTTTTTCAGTTTAGGCAAAAGGCTAATTGAATTTGAGCAGAGGGAATGAAGGGAGAGGGCTAGAAAGCAGCCAGCAGGAAGTTTCAGCTGGTTGAAAGGAAGTCGGGCAATGCCCTGTTAGCTCACAGAACTCTGGGGGTGGCACAGAGGGCAGGAAGCAATTTCAGGAGAAAAGACCCAGTCCGCCAGCAGCTCTTGGGCAGACTGGCACCTCCGAGGCCTACCCAGACATTCAGAAAGGATCTCTCTCCTCTGGGTAAAGGTGGCACAGGTTGGCACCTTCTGCTCTTAAGCCTCCACCGACTCCTGAGAAGCGGCACCTGAGCGCCCTCCTTTCACCAAAGGATTATCCACTCTTTCTCACCAATCCTTTTCCCCCACTGCAGGCGCGGGAACGAGCCGGTGTCCTTCGCCCCCTCGCGCCGGTCGGGCGGTGCTGGCAGCGGGGGCAGGCGGTCGGTTGAAAATGCCACCGAAGGCTCTGAGGAAGAGGGAGACCCCCGGGACGCAAATTTCAATGGAACCAAGTCCAGCGACTAACCAGCCCCCCCCCTCGCCATGCCTGCTCGTTTGACTGCTGCACCAGGAAAAGGGGGGGCATTAGTAGCCCTATAGGCCGCTTCACCTGTCCAAAAGCCACATCTGCCCTGACCACAGCTGCCTTTACTCCCCCATAGACACTCTTAGCCACGGTGGCCTTAGTCGCACAACTGCCTTTCAGCGAGGGAGATGCCCCTGCCTGGGTGACCAGACCAGGGCCGCCCTCTCCAGAAGCGCTCTGTACCCCTGGGAAAGAAAGCCCACTTGCCTTGCCCCTCCCCCAAATTCTTGTGCTTCCCCGTTGCTTCCTAGCGGTTCCAGACTTCCAGAAGACACCCCAAAGTTTGCCAAAACCCAAGTGCCTTTCTGAATCACTACTTCGGGGGAGGAGGGGAGGGAACAAACGAGAAAACGACTCTTACTACTTGGGATGACCTTTGTGCTTAACATACACACACCAATTAATAAAGGTTGTTAAAAATCAGAATAACCCGAGTGCAAAGTGTGCCACAAAGCACCCCAAGGACAACTCACAAGCACGTGTCTCTTCAGGCGAAGGACTAGAAACTTACTGCCTTTTGAAACTTATGTTAGAGGAAACCTTGCTGCCAACTCTCTTGTTTCGGTTCTAGCCAAGAAAAATCAAACTGGGGCCAGAAGTACAGCAGTTTTGGATGACAAACTAGTTTAATAATCCAGCAACCCTACATCCCTTTCCCGGTGCGTAAAAGGAAACCCTGCCCCCCCCCCCGAGAAACTTCCAAGTTGGAATAGGAGCCTCAACGCTAATGCTCCTCTGATGAACTTTTTATAAGCTGCCTTAATTAAAAGGCCCCAGTTTAAACAGGGAAATGGACAGGATCAAGGCACCAGGACAGAATCTTCTAACGGCAGACTTCTAATTCTCCAGATGGGTTGGACTACAACCCCCATTGCCCCAAGGCCTTGTTGGCTGAGGAGGAGAGGAGTTTTTGTCCCAAACCTCTTGAGTAGACCAGCTTGTGCCTTTTCTTATTTAGCAAATTTATATGCCGGACCCCGTTAACTCTCTGTACTCTCAGCAGCAGACCCACCGTCTGATAACACACAGCTGGTGTTGCTGAGCTTCCTAAGACCCAAACCGCTTTTTCCAGCACACGACCCCCGGGGGAGTGTCAAAGAAAGTCCACTGGGAGGAATTTTTAGGGGTTCAGAGGCGCTGTGGGAGAGGCTCCTTCTTGGCCGGGGCAGCTGCAGCTTAGAAGACCAAAAGAGAGGCTTGTGGTGTCCAGAAATGTTGGCGCTAAGAGCCCCTGGAGGCTTCACAACAGGACCCATTGGAGGCAGGAAGGCAGCCAGGCCAGGGGCCCGAGGCTGGGGGCCTCTACTCTCCCTGGAAAGGAAAGCAGAACCTCCCAGCTGGGCAAAGAAAACCGGCCTCCAGCTCTCCTGCGAGGCTCTTCACGTGGCCCTTCAGCCTGCTGGGAGCCAAGACGGGCTCTTTCTTCCTCCGGACACAGCCAGCTTTCCTCGCTGCTCTCCCGTTGCAGGTGAGCAGCCATTACCGGCTGCCAGAGAAGTGGGCTGGCCCCAAAGTCCCTCAGAAAAGCATCTGGGCTGCCCTCTGTGCTGGAAGGCCCGCCGGCCCTGCAAGGTTGGACGGCCGCGTGCCTAAATCCAGTCGTTTGGCCAACCTGTGGAATCAGAAGGGGTCATTGGCCTTGGAACCTGCGAGGAGCTGACTGTGCTGACAGTGGGGGAGTCGAGCGAGGGAAGGCCCCGACTCACCGCAGACGAGGAAGAAGTTAGAGGGGGCCACACGCTTCCAGTTCCCCTCTTGGGGCTCCCAGGATTCGCGCTTTCCTTCCCCAATTTCGTATCACCCAACCTGGCCCCCTCCAACTTGGTGGGGAGAGCCACTCCCAGTTTCCGGCCACTCTGGAGGGCACAGGTGGCAGAAGGCCATATCTATGGGCAGCTTCCCTCCCGTTCTCCTAGAGACCGTGCTGTTGGGCTTCTCCCTTGCCCACTCTGGGGCTTCCCTCAAGGCTTGCAGATGCCAGCCAGACTGACCTTGGGGCCCGATCCAGCAGGGCACTTACCAGCTGGGATTGGTACATTTGAACAAAGGGCCAAAGTCTTTAAATAAAAAGAATGCGGGAAAGATTTACTCCACCTGGGTAAAAGCTCTGGGGCAAAGCATGGGCTCTGCTAACACTGGGGGACAAATGTTTCATGAAGTGCCAACCCAGCTTTGGAGGAGTCTCTCCTTTTCTCTGGGTTTCTTCCACCACGGCCCTCTGCTCGCCTCGCAATCTGGGTATGTTCCGAGCCAACAAAGGCAGCCCCTCCGCTGGCACCGGGAATGCCCACTTTTTCATAAACAGGCTGAGAAAACTGTGCTTGCGAGGCATGGATGACGCCCATTCGATTCCAGCACATCATCCAGAGGACACTGAGCAAGAGCCTCCACGGAGCCCTCTCTGGGATGAAGGCCTCCGGCCACTTCTTGTGGCTCACCGCCTTTAGAACAACGCCGACACGTGATTTCTGCAGTTTCCGCCCACCCATCCCCGCAGGGAGGAGGGTTTCCTGTGGACTCACCCCTGGGGCACATGGGGGCCGCTCAGACGCCTCTCATACACGTCCCTGGCCAAGTAGGGAGGGGGCGGTGCTGGGCTTCGGTACGGGGTCTGGTCATAGACGAAGTTTCGGCAGGAGGCCAGCTTGGATTCCAGCGCCTACGAGCAAAGACCGTAGCTGGGTCAGCCCTGGGGAACTCAGGCGTGGATCCCACGGTTTGATTAGGGATGGAGGGCAAACCCAGCTTCTCCACTTGTTCCTCTCAAATGCCCCAAGACTCACCCCAACTTTCCGCAGGAGGTCCCCCACAATGTTCAGTGCTGATATCCGCGCGGCTGGCGTAAGTGGCGTTCCACTGGATCCATTCTCAAAACCTTGGTTAAAAAAGATGCTTTATTGGCAAAGTGAAAGCAACTTAGATTTTAGACCTTTTCAAATATCTTCCTCCTGAACTGATTTTGTAATAGGACTTGAGGCTTTTCTATTCTGACTCCGTTCTAGGCCATCAGTGACTCCAGCCACCTTCCCCACTAGGAGAAAGATACTGGGCATACTGGGGCTGATGTGCAGCCACTTCTTCCTCTTCCTCACCAGGGGGTGCTGTTGCTTCACAGACTCTACTGGGCAAGCGAAAAGAAAATGTTTTTGTCTTTGTGTGTGTGTGAGAGACAGAGAGAGAGAGAGAGAGGAAGGGAGGGAGAGATCTGTTCACCTCTTCTGAAGGCTTCTGGGGTACTAAATCCATTGCTGGGCCCCTGGGGGATTGCGGGGGTCGATGGCCTGGGGGAGGTGGCTTGCATGGCTGTGTCCATCCGTCCAGCTTCCGAGGAGCCCTCCACTGAGGCCTTCGTCTTCTCCTGCTTCTGCTGCACGGCCAGCTCTTGGCGCAAATCTAGGGGGCGAAAGCAGCTCAAGGGTGAGACGGCCCTGCCTGCCCTGCCCCTCTGGGCCACGGCACCCCAAAGAGCTCTGAAGCGCACAGAGGTGGCCAGGGAAGAGCGTGCAGCAGATTCAGGAGGAAAACGCCCTGTTGGCTGGGTCCCAACCCTCCCCTCCGCCCCTGGCAGTCACAGGGGGCATGGCGGTGGCTGCTGCCTGCCTTGCTCCTCTTCCCTCTCCAACATTTCTTCTTTCATGCTGCGCCCAAACCCGGGGGCTCCTTTAGACGAAGCAGAGAGAGGCTGGGGAAGCCCCACAGTGTGGAACGAAGCTCTGCCCACCTCTGGCTTCGTCCTTCAGCCGCTGCACTGACTCCAGGAGGCTCTCCTTCTCGTCCAGCTCACTCTCCAGGAAGGCGTTGCGCTCGATGGCCTGGTTCAGCCGCTGCTCAAAGTCCTCCAGGGACATGATGGTGGCTCTGCACGGAGCCCGGGCACAGCATCAGCCAGGCATGGAGCTAGGGAGCTCTGCCTGGAGGAAGCTGGGCCCCATGGCCCCGGAGGGTCCTTGGGGAGGCTCCAGGGCTCCAAACCTCGCCCCCTCCACCCAGGGTACCTCTTGGCCCTCTCCAGGTCATCGTTGCACTGCTCCAGTTCCCGGATGTACTTCTGCAGCTGGTCCCGGGCGGCCCTCGCCTGGCCCAGCTCCTCCTCCAGGGCTGAGATCTGCCGGTCCCCGTCGGCGTGTTGGCTGGCAATCTTCTCCTAGCCCCAAACAATCACGCAGAACAAATGCCACTCGCACAGCCCTGCTGCCCATGCTGGGTGTGCACTGCGCCAGACGGCCTTCGCCCCTCTGCACCCTTGCGTGGCTGCCCCCCAAATAGGGCTCTGAATGCCAATGGTGCCCAGGAGAGGCAGGCCCCGCCCTTGGCTCAGGTCTTTGTGCATGCCAGCACAGCCGCCTGGCAGCTTCAATGGGCCTCTGTTCCAGCAGTGCTATGGGGGGGGGGGCAGGGAGGGCATGGATGAATGACCCAATTGTCAGAATGGCTTTCCCTGTCCGAGAGCTGCTTCATCAGGTGACGGACTGTGGGACCACAGTATTAAAAACAGGACCCCGAGCCCTTGAGGGTCACCAGGTGGTGCCCCTTTTCCCTTCCCTTTGCTGAGCCTCACATTATCTGCCCCCCTTCTTCCACCCTCCCACCCAGAAATGGCCAATTTCCCCCTGGCCAAATTCTGCCAACATCCTGAGAAGGCAGAAGAGGGTGAAGAGAGGGCAGAACTCACCTGGCTGAGGCTGAGATGCCCATCTTTGCATGTTTAGATGCCCCTGAAAGGCCAGCATTGGCAAGGCCCAACTTGGATCCCCATTACCCACCCACCCTGTGTAAATGCATGGGTGACCTACACATAAACGCCCCTGACTGAAAAATAAATCTCAAGCACACACCACCCCTGCAAGGTGGGCCCTCTGCCTCACCCACTTCGCTTGTCAGGCAGCCCTGCAGCCGTCCTTCCCTGGTCTGCCCACCCACGGCTGAGTTCCTCTCCTCCTCCAGCTGCTCCCCTCATCCAATAGAAACTCAGGACCTCAAAAAAGATGCTCCCCCATGGCCAGGTTGGCCTTTGCAGGACCGACTCAAATCGGCTCCAGCCCCTCTCACAGGTAATGCAGGGACTCCCCCCCCAGCCCGCCTGGCTAGCTCTCCTCCTCGATTGCCAGGGGGTCTGGCACCCCGAAGTGCCCCCGACCCCCTCCTCACCTTGACCGTCTCCACCTCCATCTGCAGTCGGGCGTTCTCTGAGAGCAGGTCCCGGTTTCGAGTCTCCAGCTGCTGCAGCTGCATCTCCAGCTCGGCTTCGTACTCACGGCTGCCCTCTTGGAACTCGCGCAGCTCCTCCTGGGCGCTCTCCACACTGAGGGAAAAGCGGGGTAGGGGCCAACCACGCTGGTCATGAGGCTGACCCCGGCCAAGGGACCTGGCAGTTCCCCCCCCCACCTGCTGGCACCCTGGCCTCCCCACGCCTGCCGAAGGCTCAAAAGTGCCGCTGCTCAGTGGCTGAGAAGCCGGAGGGGGAGGCTTACCACTGCTTGTATTTGCTGGAGAGCTCCTTCCAGTAGCCGATCTCCCCCCCTGCGCAATCGAAGGGGCTCCTTTCGGGGTCAGCCATGGTAGAAGCCGCCTGGCATGATCTTGGGGAGGGGGGAGAGAATCGGATTGGTTGCAGAGCCCACCACCCGTCTGACCAGACCAGCCACACAGGATGGTATCCCTCCCAGGATCCAGGCCCCAAAACAGCATTGAGGTTCACTCCAGAACTCTACATACGCCCAGGAGACCTGTCCTCTTTCTGGTGTCGGAAGAAGAGACCCAGCCAAGAACGAACTCTTTTGGGAGACGGCTGGGCACAATCCTGCCCACCCAGGGACTTTTGAGCGAGGGAGGCCTAGAGAGGCCCACTCATTTCCTTATAAAATGGCGGGCACACCTGTCTCTGCAACCCCAGGGGGCCCCTGAGCCACTGAAGCCCGGCAGGGGACAAGGGGAAAACTCCAAGCATCTTCTGTGAATTAACCACAGGTGGAGTTTCTAACCAGGCACTGAAAGTCATGCAGAAATTACCTTGAATTTTCACTTGGGTTGGTTTTTGCTACTCAGCTGCCTCAAAAATGATCTTATTCCTTTCTGAATTATTTTAAATAAAGATACGCATTTAAAGAAAAATAAAGGCACTCTTGGAAAGCAGGCCAGAGTGGAACTTTGGAAAGAAGAAACACATTTGGGATTGTGGTTGGTCTGAGCACTCATAATCTTGCTAAATTAAAAGGCACATTTAATAAATCTCTGGCTGCTCCTTCGTCGTCTCTGCTGTCGAGTTGCTGAGCCAAAGAAAGAGGCGCAGCTACTGGGACGCCATAAACAGAGCTGGAAGGAGCCAGGCTGGGGGAGACTTGGCCGGGGTGGGGCCAAACGGGGCTAGTGAGGCCAGAGAGCTGGGCCAGGCCCAGACGGCCTCTGGCCTGCTTCCTTCACTGTTCTCAAGAGGGGCCGAGGGATCGGATCCTGGGGGCCGCTTTGCAAGCTGAGCCAGGAGGCTCAGAGGAGGCCCCAGAGCCAGGCGTTCGAACTGGGAAGGGGTGAGGCTGCTCCCCTCTCCCTCTGCGGCACAGGGCTGGACCTCAAAGTCTCTCCCCATCTTTTGGCCCCACAGGTTGCCTCTTCCTCAGGACACGCTCAACTCTGAGCGAGGGGGGCCGCATCCTCTGCTGGCGGAATGCGCTTTTACTCCCATCAAATCTTCACAGGATGGATTTTAAAACAGACTTTACAGTTTCTCTGGATTTATTTTTATTCTGCATGTGGATTAATTTAATGATAAGCCTGTTGCCATTGAAACCTCTTTAGACTTTGCTCCAAAATATGATTCAGAGGTAAAAGGAAGTGTTCTACATGCAGATATTTTACTACACGTCCGCTGCCAGAAGGCCTGTGTGGCCCTGAAGGGGTGTCCAGGGGTCTCTGGCCAAGGGGGAAAAGCCCCTGCAGGAGTGGCCCGTCATGTCTCAAACTGGCCGGAGAAACAGAGGCACCAGGAGCCAGAAGAGCCAATCAGGAACTGGAGGGTGGAGGGAGCCAAGTCAGCCCAAGACAACCTCACAGCCATCCTTGGCACTGCTCTAAACCAGCCCCCCCCCCGCCATTCCTTCCCCAAACAGCCACAGGGGAGGGGGTCAGTGCCGTCACCGGAAGAGCTTCGACCAACTGCTTCACACGGGTCGGTGGGCATTAAGTTGCAAAGTACGGGGGGGGGGTTCGCTAGACCTAGAGGAGGGTCCACGAGAGTGAGGTCACTTCCCCAAACGCTGCTTACTCTCGCCCCGCCTGGTGCCAGCAGCCAGGACATCTGGCAGGCCCGGCTCTCTTTCGTGGGTTACTTTCCCACCGGCTCGCCAAGCTGCGCTGGGGCTGGCCGTGGATTGCACCCGTCTGCAAGGGCTCCGGGGAGGGGGAAGGACCATAGCAGAAGAGGCCCACCGGGAAGCTGGGTTCGGAGTGCCCTCCTCGCTCTCAGGCATACAAGACCGACCCCACGACACGGAGCTTACCTATCCGGGTAAGGGGCCAAGGCGAACTCCCCTGCGGCGAAGAGGAGCCCTGAAAGGCGACCCCCTCTGCTTCTCAAGCCCTCCTCCCCCCGGGGCAGTGGGAAAGCCGGCCGGGAGACCTTCCCCATGCACGGCGAGAGGCAGCTGGCTCGCTCGGGGATCTTGTCGCCTCCCGGCCCCGAAGCTTTCCCCCCGCGCCCGTTTCTTCGCCCGCCGCCACTCACCCTGCCCGCAGCCAGAAGGAGACGCCGCCGCCGCCCCGCTCAACTGGCAACTCTCGTCCCGTCCGAAACAACACAGGCAGCCTTTGCGCGGCCTCCCATTGGCTGCCGGTCACGCGACTCTGCCGCGCTCCTCCAATCGGTGCGGGCCGATGGAGCGTTGAAACTTTTGTATCTTTTCTGGCTTTCCCTTTTTTCCTCAATGGGGGAAGCGCGCGCGCGCGGCGGACGGGGGGAGAGTTGTTGGAAGCAGCCGGCAACCGCCTCGCCTCCCTCCCCACTCGGGAACCACACCAAGCCCCGCGGGCGCCCTCCCACCAGCCGCTGACCCCGATGCTCAGTACCCCAGCCAGTAAGGTGGTTCCCACGCCCAACTTTTGGCCCTGCACGACCAGATTGATAGGATTTGTAGTACCCAGTACTGGCGGAGGATGCCCAGACAAATTCTTCATCGCTTTGCTCGCGGGCTGATTAACAGCCCTCTCTATGAAACCCATTACAAACCGGATCCTGGGGGGATTAGATAGGTGCCAAAGGATGAGTAAAGGAAGCGGAGGTATTTGCCAATACAGCTGGAAATACGGTTAAAAAGAAAGGAAGCGCCAGTTCCCCACTATTATTTTCAGTTTGGCAGAGACCTGACCCCAGTCCATTTTATTCCTGTGCTGGCCCACTGACCCTGCTGGCCCAGGGAGGGTAGCCTTCGCTCACTCAGTCCCCTTTACCTGGCCTGCAGGCAGCTTAGCCTAGCCCTCCGCTTATATTCCAAAGTTCCGATTCGGCTAAGCAAACCGGGGTCCACCTCAACCTTCTGCCTCTGCAAGAGAGGAAGAGCTGCCAGGAGAGTTGAGCTGGAATGCAGAAGGAAAGAGGCACTTTGGCCCGTGTGAATGTAGCCCCAACTCCCTCCTTCCTTCTGCACTCTCCTCATTGCAGCTGCCCACTGAAGGCAGCAGGAGGGCCAGACAAGAGCAGGTGACTAAGAATGACCAGCAGATTCATGTGGAGCCAACGGGAATTGCCAGCAGAAGCAGATTGGACTAACTGACAGTCACGTCCCTGTCAAAGGGGCTCCATCCAAAAGACTAGCCATGGCTCGACCTCTTTGCTTGCTGTTCAGGCCTCTTGTGCTGAGGATGAAGGGAGGGAGGGAGAGCGTGCTGTTCCACCCCCAAAAAATTCCTGCTCTCAATTAAAGTGGTGTCCTAATTCATGGGTCTCTTCTTCCTTGTAAATCAAGATCCTAATAACCTGGCAATTAAAACTGAGGCTCTTCCTGTTTGCCAGAATGCAGCATCTCACTCCCAGCCTTCCTGCCCCATTTGCCATTCAGGGGCCCTGAAGGGCACACAGGCCAGGAAAGCGGTGGGGGGGGGAGTAGATCCTGGGCTCTCTCAAACTGCTGTTCTCATTCAGAAGAATCTCATTGTGTGAAGGGGAGATCTGATTGTTCTCTGCTTGGCATGGGATGGGGGGGAGATGTGGGCAAAGACCTCCTTGGGCATGGGGTCTCTGAGCCAAAGTACAGAAGGAGGTCATTGAAGACATTCACGCATGCAAAATTGAGGTGGATTTCCCAGCTTGCATGGAGACAGACAGAAAAGCCAGTTGTCTAATTTTAGCCTTGCGTGGGCGTTAAAGTCAAGATTAAACCCATGTTTCATCCCATTAAGGTCTAATGAGTTCATATTTCTTCCTGAAATTAATTGTCTTAAAACATTTAAAGGCTGGTTTACTCACACCAAGATGTTCCTCCCACAGCCACCCACTTCCTTTCTTTGACCTGGAAAGATTTTTGGTTCCAAATAGGGCTGCATGGATTTAGTGCCCCTCCCCCTCAGGCCCAGCTGGGGGGCTTGCAGTTTGGCCTGCAGAGACCCCTTCTGGCCTCACCTTTGCTGAGGTGCTCAGTTCAGGTGCAGAAAGGGGCTTTTGCCTCTCCATCCTCCTCCTAACCTGCTAGCTAGTCCCACAGCTCTCAAGCTGGGTGGGTCCAATATGGGTAAGGAAAAGAAGGGGGGGGGACTTCAGACTCCTTTCTTGGTGCACAAAAAACTACAAGAACCGAGCAACAGGGCTGCTTTCAGGGGTCTTTCCTTGCCCCCTACTTAGCCAGGCAGCCTGGCATCTCTGGGACCAGACCCTCCACTTCCATGAAGGCAGGGTGGCAAGTTCTTTCTTTCTTTTCTCTTCTTTCCTTTCTTTCTTTCTTTCTTTCTTTCTTTCTTTCTTTCTTTCTTTCTTCCTCTTTCTTTTCCTTCCTTCCTTCCTTCAGTGGAAAATGCACAAAGAAAGGAGGGAGGATGAACAAGGCTGCCTTCCAAGGCAGGAGCATTCTTTGAAACAGAAGCAGCTGACAGACAGAAGGAGACGGGCCATTAATGGTGACCCTGAGCTGGCTGGAGGACAAGGAGAGGCAGATGAGAGAGGAGCTGATCTACTGTGCAACCTCAGCTCCGGCCCTTCTCGCCAAGGACGGGCATTTCTCAATCAGCCCCCACCGACCAGCCTGAGATTTCCAAGGGACAAAGACTGTTGCAAACGTGTCGGCCAGGAGGGGGCAGCAGCATACAAAAGTGCCTCTTGATACTCTGAATTTCTTTGGAAACTGAGTAATCTTTGCACCACTGCTGCTTTGGTAATTTCTGCCTCCTGTCTATATACAACCGCTCTTCCACAGAAGCAGAGTCACAAATAAGCAAATTAATGTAACTGCTTTCCCATTTCCTTTTCTACAGCAAACCCTCAACAATGTATGTGGGCTCAAAAAGTCCCAAGCATACTGATGCACTCCAATTCTCTGAATTCATGGCAACCTAACCCTAGATGGGTTTGCCCCCCAATGAGATTTTCCCATGTTTTTTTTACCAGGGAAGACAGATAGGGCAGGGCCCAAAAGTCAACACCCTCCTAAGCACACTGACACGTTCCAAATCTGTTGGTGATGTCCATTTTGTTCTCCAAATTCATGGCAATCTAACCCTAAATAGATTGCCCCCCAAGGGGACACGTGCTTTCTGCTAACCACATGTGGCCACACAAGTGGTGACTGTGTGGGCCATGAATTGCATGGAGGTTGGTGGCCAAAAGAGCCACCTGGCAAAAGACGTCCATCTTTGCAAGCTTCTACTGCTGGGCTCTGCTTTTTTCCTCCATTTGGACCCCTCACTTGCCTCCACCTTCTGAGCCTTGGGGGGGGCGGAGAAACCCCCTTTGCGGTACTGAATGGCTGGATTTATCCATGGCATTCAGCTGTGCTTGCTCAGAGGGTCCCCCTGGTCAGAAGCAGTCTATCCCTCCAAGGCAACCATGACCTGGCTTCCTCTTGGCTTTGTGGTGGACAGAGGACCCCCCCCCCATCCTTTCTAATCCAGCAGGGTTTCCTCAGGTTTGAGAGTTTCCAAGCTTTTTCTTGGAAGGAGCCCCCAGGCGATCCTCCCCCCTCCTCTTCCATCTTTCCCCACCTGGCCGGACTGCAAGGTCCACCACCTTCACCCCTGGCTTGGCCGTGACCTAAGAGGGACCAGGAGCCACTTCCTGTGAGAGAGATTTGCCTCTGGGAGACCACCACCTCTTTTCTGAGGAAAACCTGCCCGGGTCCTCAACGCAGAGCCGTCCCCACCAAGGAAGTGGGAGCTCCATGGAATTCTGGGACTTGCAGGCGTCCTCTCTGCCAGGGAGCTCATCTTTGTCACTTTCATCTCTGCGTGGTTCGGTTTCCCTGAAATCAACCTTTTCAGAAAAGAAGACAGAAACCGCAGTTTCAGTCTTTCTGGAGGACCAGAAACCGGCTTCAGGAAACAGAACTGACTTTGATGCTGGTAAGCACAACACCCTGAAAGTCTAGATTTCTGCTGAAGCGCCTCCCACAAGAAAAGCGAAGGTTCCTTTTTCAAAAAAAATTTTTTTTTTTTTAAAAAAGAATCTCTACAGCAGGTTGTGTTACAAACCTCTGCCCAGAGCATCTCGGTCCTTGCCTCGCTGTAAGTGAGACCGAGCTGGTCCACTAGTCAGACTTTAACAGGTGCTGATTTTCCCAGCCTGGGAACATGACCTGTTGCAATCCTGCCTGTTCAGAGCCATTTAAACTAAAAGGTGAACTCAAGCCAGGGACCTCTCAGGAGAAGATAAATTTCTGAAGCTCCTTTGAAAAATAGTGGCTGTTTGAAAGTTGGAGGCTCAGATCTGTCTATGATTAGAAACGCCCAGTTCAGGCAGAAATTTTGTTTTTACAGAGCGCTTTACCTGTGCAAACAAACACAGGACGACACAAGCAGCCCCCAAACCTATATTAAAACTGGCCCGAGCATCCTTGCCAATAATACGCCAAGATCTGGAGAGCCTGTTAAGACTCTCATGTGAAAAGAGTAGTAAAAGCTGCAGGTCTCAGCCCAGTTTGCCAGAGGGCTGTGGAAGCCAAGATTCCTGGCTTAAAAGTGGCAAGCAATCCAGTGGTTCTCTGGAAGTCCTGTAGATGTCAGGAAGCAAAAGTTACAGCCTCTTTCCAGGAAAACAAAAGTAACATACGGCTTTTTATTCTCCGATGATTTATCTCAACCTGATCACCTTCTAATGGGATTTCCAAAAAAAGAGACATTAGAATCTGGGACAGTGAGAAATGCAAGCAAGGGTTTTTCCTGGAAAGAGTCTTGTGAGAGGGAGAGAGGGACGGAGGGAGGGGGAGAGAGAGAGAGAGAGAGAGAGGCAGGAAATTGTGGCATTTACTGAGAAGCAGGAGACCTGCTATGTTCCCAGTTGTGGACGCATGGGGGAGGCAGATTCCCTGGGCCTGATTTCCCCCCCCCCTTACTAAAAGCAGCAGTGGACTATGGGACACTCCTGCCAGAATCTCCTGCTCTATTTCACTGCTCTGCTGGGCCCCTCCCAGAGAAAGCGAGGAGAGGCAGGAGGGCTATTCCCTGTTAATACCATTTGGAGAATATTTCAACACCCAGCCCAACCTCAG